GATGTCCTTCCAGGGGATCTAGAGTCCAGCCTTGTCTCAGCCATGCAGCAGTGAAGACCCTCCAGAGTTTTGTAGTCCAGAAGACCAAGAGCTAGAGGGCTTGAGACAGAATACACAGAGCAGGTCTTGTGGTAGGAAGCAGGTGAGCCCAGTGGCTGGCCTGCTCCAAACTGGCAAGGCCCCGGTTCTGTGCCCAGATCATCCAGGTGGCTCTCGGTGGACTGGAAAGGACCAGACGGTTCCCTTCTCTCTTAGTTTCATTTCCTGTTGCTTTGATAAAACATCCTGACAAGCTGGGCAGTGGTGGCACCCGCCTTTAATCCCAGCACTAGGGAGGCAGAGGTAGGCAGATCTCTGTGAGTTCAAGGCCAGCCTGGTCTATAGAGCGAGATCCAGGATAGCTAGGGCTATTACACAGAGAAACCCTGTTTCTAAAAACAAAACAAAACAAAACCAAAAAAAACAAAAAAAAAAAAACAAAAAAAAAACCACCCTGACAAGAGCAACTCTAAGGGGGAAAGGGTTTATTTGATTTATGGTTCCAGGTTGCAGTCCATCGTTGTGGGGGAGGATGGCAGGAGATTGAAGCCACTAGTCACATCCACAGTCAAAAGCGGAGAGAAAATGAAAGCATGCGTAACTCTCAGCTCTCTCTCTCCACTCCAACAGTCCCAGCCCCAAACCCAGGGAACAGTGCTGCCTAGCTTTAGACTGAGTCTTCCTGTGTCAGTTAACACAGTCACCCAGACGGTTCCCCTCCAGACATTCCCACAGGTCAGCCTGATCTAGACAATGATGGAGGCTCTCTTCCCAGGTGTTTCCAGACTGTTTCAGGTTGACAATTCAAACTAAACATCATGGGGCTGGAGAGATGGCTTAGCCAGTTAGAGCACTGGCTGCTCTTGCAGATCATTGGGGTTCAGATTACGAGCACCCGCAAAGGCTCACAACCATCTGTAACTCCAGGGGATCCAATGCCATTCTGGCCTCCTCAGGAGATAGACAGGCACATAGTACACAAACATATGTGTAGGCAAATGCCCATACACATTAAATAATACTAAAAATAATTATGAGCCGGGCGGTGATGGCGCACGCCTTTAATCCCAGCACTCAGGAGACAGAGCCAGGCGGATCTCTGTGAGTTCAAAGCTAGCCTGGTCTACAGAGCAAGTTCCAGGACAGGCTCCAAAGCTACACAGAGAAACCCTGTCTCGGGGAAAAAAAAAAAAATTACGTGTGTGTGTGTGTGTGTGTGTGTGTGTGTGTGTGTGTGTGTGTGTGTCTGTAGTGATATATGCAACTCCCCCTAGAGCTGGAGTTACAAGCGGTTGTGAACTGCCTGACAGGGTACCTGGAACCAAACTCAGATCCTCTCCAAGAGCAGTATGTTTTGTTCTTAACTGCTAAGCCACCTCTCCAATTCTCCCTACCTTCTTTTTTGATTGGTTTGGAGTTTTGGGGGATGGTGTTTGAGGTTTTTTGTTTTGTTTGTTTTGGGGTTTCCTTTGTTTGTTTTGAGACAGGATCTCACTGTGTAGCTCTACTGTCCTTGAACTCATTATGTAGACCAGGCTGGCCTTGATCTAAGACATCCATTTGCCTCCCAAGTGCTGGAATTCAAGGCATGCACCACTATGCCTGGCTTTGTTCTTTTGAGACAAGGTCTTTGCTATGTAGCCTTGGCTGGCCTGGAACTCACTGTGCAAACCAGACAGGCCTCCAATTCCAAAGAGCTCCGCCTGCCTCTGCCTCCCCAGTAGTGGGATTAAAGGCGTGTACCAGCATGCCCAGCTTTCTGAGATTAATTTTAGAGTCTCACTGTGTAACCCAGGCTAGCTTAAAACTCACAATGCCCCCTGCCTCTGCTTCTTTCCTAGTGCCAGAATAATAGGTATATGCCAACCATGGCCAGCTAGGTCTTCTGTCTGCCAGTGCCCACACACAAGAGGCTCAGTCCGTTCTCCATTTGGGAACTGTGGGTTCTCCTCACACTTGAAATTGAAACAGGCACTGTGGTCAGCCTGTGCCTCCTCTCTGTCTTCGGTCCTCTAGGCTATGTCACACACAGGAGCACTCGCGAACTTGACAGCTTCAGGGACTTCCCACTTGACACTGCTTCGGTTGGAACTCTTAGCCAGCTCTTCTAATGGCCCAAGTGTGCTCTTTCTTTATATCAGGTTATAAATTTCTCCTCGGAACTAAAAAGCCTGCCCTGCTTGCTTAGTTCCAGGTTCCAGGTACCCTGTCAGGCAGCTCACAGCCACAACCCCAAAGCTACTTGTCATCGTTATTTGTTCCCTGTCCCCCCATGACAGAAGGAAAACAAGGTTCCTGTCCACTTGGTTCGCCCTTGTGACACCAGCCTAGGACATTGCCCAGCACGTGATAGGGCCGTAACCAATATTAGAGTGAGTGGGGTAGATTTTGGCCGTTTGACTGGCCAAGATCTTCAAGTTGGCAAGCAGTGGGGATAGATTCAAACCCATACCTACCTGACTCCAGGGCATAGACTGTCAGCCATCTTCAGGATGCTGGGTTGGCTTCATTGCTGACATTGATATAGAACCCCACACTAAAATCACAACCAACCAATTCCAGGCAGGATTCTAAGTAGTTAAATCTCATGCTTTGGAGAGTTTTACCTTCAGATCCAAGGAACACAATGAGTTAATCTCCCAGCTTCCAGAGGGCCCCGGGGTAGCCGCTTTGGTGAGGCTGTGACCCCTGAGCTGCCGGCATAGACATCTTGCAAGTTCAGCTATCCCCAGGGTAGGAGGGTCAGGGCTTGCTTCAGGTTTTTGAAAACTCAGAGAAAACTGGGTTATCCCACCAGTGGGAGTCGGGGTTGGGGGCACACTTACCAAGCCAAGTGGTCTGGGCCCCAGAACCAGGCAAGGGGCAGCAGACGGCGAGGGAGATGAAAGCATCAAGCCTCCACCAGCCTGCTGCCCTCACTCAACTGTGAAACTCAGCCCCAGTGACTGACAGTGACAGCATTCACTCGTCTGCCTATAGGAGGCACAGTTGTCACACGTGGTTTTTAGTGTTCCCCACAGCCCTACGGTAATAATGGTAGCTCTGTTTTCTTTTAGGCAAGCACCTGAAGCACGGCCCTTTATGAACTAGCTAGGGACTAGCACAGGGTAGGGAAACAGGAGTTAGGAGGGAACTGCAGGCATCATACAGAAACCTAGGCTTGGAGAGCGACTGGGGTGGCAGCCTCCAACCTCACATGCTGCCTGCCCACTCTGCTGAGCTTTGAAGCAGATGCTGCGGACTCCCTAGTCTACCCACCCTGGCTCGGGGTAGAAGAAATGAGGTCCCAGGTCAGAGTTAAGCAGAGGCTGCTTCTGTGGTGACAGCCCCCCCGCTGCCCCCGCTAAAAGCCTGCCCGGCTTGCTTAGCCTGCTCATTCCTTCTTTCCTTCAGTCTCAAGGCCCTCCTAGCTGGGAATCCTCCGGACAACATGGTGGATCTGTCCGGCATTCCACTGACCTCCCGTGACCTGGAGCGGGTGACCAGCTATCTTCAGCGCTGTGGAGAGCAAGTGGACAGTGTGGAGCTGGGCTTCACGGGCCTCACGGACGACATGGTCCTGCAGCTACTACCAGCGCTCAGCACCCTGCCTCGCCTCACCACACTAGCCCTCAATGGCAACCGATTGACCAGAGCTCTGCTGAGGGACCTCACCGACACCCTGAAGGACCCCAGCAAGTTCCCCAATGTCACATGGATTGACCTGGGCAACAATGTGGACATCTTCTCTCTACCCCAGCCCTTCCTGCTCAGCCTGCGCAAGCGTTCTCCAAAGCAGGGGCACCTACCAACCATCCTGGAGCTGGGGGAGGGGCCGGGTACTGGGGAAGAGGCCAGGGAAGGTACAAGTCAGCAGGACCCTGGAGGAAGCCCTGTGACGCTTACAGGAGACCAGGAGAGCAGCGAGACTGTGACTCAGACATGACCAGGAAGTAGGGAGGACTTGTCAGGATGGCTAAGGTGGGTTAGGGGCTCCTCCCATCAGGAGGATGTCTGAACAACCCACCCACCAACCAGACACCAGGCTATCAGAGTACTAACTTTTGCCCCCAGCTCCCTCCCAGTCCCTGCCGCTGAGAAGGCATCCATTGCTCTAGGGGCTCTGGGATGTCTCCACTCAGCCGGCTCTCCCAGACTTGTGGAGCTGGACCAAGCACTCTCCCACCAGTCCAGTTGAGCCTCCTCAGTTAAGGAAAAGTGGCATCTACTAAGACCCTTGGAGGGCTTCCCAATTCCCAGGGGCCTCCTGGAGGTGGTGTGGGGTCCAGAGCATTAAGTATAGGAAATCCAGTTCAAGCTGCAGACCTCCCTTCCTTGACTGGAGGATTTTACTGTGAAAGGCAGCACATGCCTAGTTCCCTTACCCCTCAACCAGCACATTTTTTTTTTCCTACCAGATGGGTTTCAGACCCTATTCCCAGAATCTAGTCCTTGGAATGGTTTATCATAAGGCTCCAGGACTAGTTACTTCAGCCCTAGTTAGAAGGAAAATTGGGGCTTCTACACCTATTTTCCCATAATGCCCCTAATCCCCACAATGAGCAGCTCCTATACTCCAAGCCCAAGGAAACTGGGAACTGTTCTGAACTAGGTGAATCAAAATCCAAGGGAAGCAAAGCCTTACAGGCCAGGCAAGCAAACTGGCTCATAGGATCTGGGAAAGATAGGGGCCTTACATGGTACTGCATAAATACAGCCAAGGGACAGGACAAGTGTGGATGCCTTAAATGCTTTGGAATCTTTGCCCAAGTCTTAGGTTGTGAAAACAGCTTAGACTGACCAGAAGTTTACAGTGCTAAAGCTGGGCTGCTCAACACCTGATAATTTAACTCTTCAAATACACTTTTTGAGGACCAGTACCAAAGACCCCGCTTTATTATGGTGCTTGTTAATGGTAACTGCTGCGCGCGCACACACACGTTGACTTGTGAATTAATTCATTCAATACAATGGCAACCAACTTTGTGCACAAACATTTTATTAACGTGTGTGGAAGCTCCCGTGGGGTAGGATGATCACTAAATGTGCCTGACCAGACAGAACAGGGTCAGCAGACACATGCTGGACTGTTTTCATAACAAGCTTAAAAGAGGCTGCTTTCAGAATCCCAAGTTGGTGGCGGTACTGCTGCTGGAGACTCCTCTGGAGACAGCCTGCAGAGGAACTAGATTTCAGAATCACACTTGTTCCAACCAACGGCATTCAGAACATTGAAAGGTTATCTTCAGAAAACCATAGGCTCACCACTACCAATCTGCCGGTAATTCCAGCTATTTTAGGTGATCTCATCATCTGATATCCTTTCAGAGTAATGACAGGTAGCTTGAGGCAATCACTGTACAGATCAAACTTACCTCCTCCTCCACTGCGGCTGCCAACAGAGACTGCATTCCTCAATGTTCTCAGCACTCAGTTCTCAAAACTTGAAGTGGACACTCCTAAGATGGATTGCAGAAACAGGACGAGTTATTTCTAACGGCAGCCACACCAAAGCCTAGTTTTAAACACAGCCTAACAAGAGCACCAAAGACCTTACAAAGGGTACATCTTTCAAGTTATTAAAAATGCAATCTTAACCACCAGTGAGGGGCCTTCTGCAAATCCAGCCCAGCTGGGTTCAATCCATGGGACCCAAATGGCAGGATGAGCTATCCAAACTGCCACATAAGAGGAAATTTAAGACCTGAGTTAAAGGACTGGGATAATGACTTAGGGTTTAAGAGCACTGGTGGTTGCTCTTCCATGGGCCCAGGCTGGATTCCCAGCACCCAAGTAGTGGCTGACAACCACCTCTAGGTCTCGTGCCCTTTTCTAGCTTCCATGGACACCTGACACATAAAAAAAAAGATGGTTCTGTAGTTACCTATGCACAGCACCCTGCTAAATATAGTCTCTACCCCCAACTACAACCAGTTCTGAGTACAAGCATTCCAAGTCAGGCTGGACGGATGCATGTACATTCACACTATCATAACATTCACACTATCATAACCAAACCAAACAGACAAGGTCTGGCCCAACTACAACCAAGACAAAAGCTTACCTCATGGGAGGCCACGGCTGCTGGCAGTCCTCCACCCTAAATTTCCGACCTAGATAGAACACAGCAGTTGTTATAGTCCAGACCGAGTTAATCCTAAACACCAGTTAACTGGTGAGGGCTTGACTGCATCAGCCAGGAACACTTATCGTCAGTTATCGCCTCTGACGGCACTTCCTATTAGTGATCTCATCACCGCAGTCAAGCCTTCCACTGTCCCCCTGCAACCCATGCTTTCAGCCACTGACTGGAGGCCCATTTTCAATTATGGCTGTGACCATGTGGGTGGGTGCACGTGGACGGTGTGGCCGAGACCAGAACACACTGAATTCCCTGGCTCTAGAGGTTCAGGTGGTTATGAACGACGCTACCTGAAATACTCTAACGTAGTAATAGGCCTCTTAGCAGCTGGGCCATCCAGCGCCAGGAGAAATTTACCTAAGTATGCTTCTGCAAAAAGCATGAGCTGAATGCAGTGCAAGGGCTGGGGCGGGAACACCACGGGGAGCGAAAACTACAATGTCAGGCCACACATCGATGGCTCCAGAAACTTACCTCACGGCGGCACACTGCACTGCTCCTCCTCGACGTCCGCTCAGTTCTCCCTCTGAAAGGTTAAAAGAACAAAAAGTCCGGAGACCATTCGAACACTCGCGCAGTCCATCGCCGAGGCTTGAGCGACTGCGGTCAGCTAAGAAGGGAGGTCGTCAGTTATCGCCTCGGACGGCACTTCCTATGTCTAGTCTCATCAGAGCAGTCGCCGGCCCGCCCGCCCACGCGCGGAGCCCCGGGGTGCAGACCCCGACCTACCCGGATCCTCAGGTCTGCGCAGCGCCCACGGCGGGGCTGGGAGGCCGGGCCGGCTCGGCATCGCACCGGCTGCGCTCCGCTAGGCCCCGGCGCCAGGACCGGCTACAGGGAGGAACCACGAACGACCACATCGTGTCCGCGGAGAGAGACCGCGGCGCCCGTGCGCCCCGCTCTTAAGGGCTCGGGACAGACCACTTCCCGCACGAGGGAGGGCGGGAGTGGCAAAGGCTCACGGGAACCCGCGGGACTCCCCCGCTCCGTGGAGCGAGTGGTCTCCACCGCCCCGGGAATTCTGGGTAGCGGAGAGCCGGGAGCGAGTTCCAGCGCGCCTGCGCGAAGGCTTCAGTGTGGTTTTTATGTTAGCTAAAGTGTCCATCGACACGGTCGTTTTCGGCGAGTTCCCCGCCCTTTGTAAACTCGTTGTGGAGTTTGAAAACATGGAGTTAAAAATCTGACAGCGCAGGCCTGAAATCACAACTGCTTAGGAGTCTGGACCTTAGGAATTCGAGCCCAGCCTGGGCAATTTTAGTGAGCCCTGTCTCAAAATAAAAAGAAAGAAAAGGGTCAAAATAATCTAGTGGAGAGCTTGCATAAGCATGCGTGCGTTTAATCCTCGGGACCTGGGAACGGAGGGTAAGACCTTGGCCCTTCTGAGGCTCGCCTGAGATAACACCCGAAACTGCGTTCAGAGACAGTAAGAAACAGTAGCTGCTGCTTAATGATTCGGGCCGTTCTTCGCCCCATTGCTGTTTGAACATGTCCACGGAACCTCTCAAGACCCTATGCAGACAGCCCTCATCACATTCCTTAGAGAATTATACCGCCAAGAGGAGTTCCTGTTTGATCTGTTTTCATTGTCCCCACCCCTTTCCGCTTCTGACTTTTGCATCGGGCTTATCTCATGGGCAACAGAAAACTGCCGATGCTATCCCATCAGTATATGAGCATGTTCGGGTGTCTCTTAAGGGTTGGGGACATAGCGAACATGAGGTTCTTAGTTCCATCCCCGGCACCTCATAAACTGGGTATTGTGGCAAACTCCCACGTTCTGGGGATGTGGAGGCAGGAGAATCAGAAGTTCAAGGTCTTTCTTCAGCTATACAGAGAGTTTGAGGCCAGCCTAGGATGCGTGAGCCTGTATCCTAGCACTCAGGAGGCTAGAGTAAGGTTCTTGTGAGTTCAAGACCAGCCTGGCCTACAGAATGAAATCCTGTCTCAAAATACCTCAGTGCAAAGTCTTACAGAGCTATTATATAGGAGATGCTAGGTTCCATCCAGCAGCACACATCTGTGCTTGCATACACTTCATATGCAAATGTACTGAGGAACTGACTCATTTTAACAGAAGAGAACTGCCAGGTAGTCATGAGACAGCCATCCAGGTGGTCCAGGGAATAAACCTAGGATTTAATTAATGGAGGGAGGGAAGTGTCCACTCACCTTAAAGGGAATAAGATCGTTTATTTTGGAGCCAAATGTGAGTGACCATGGCCAGGAACACAAATTCAGGTTTCCCCAAATACCATGTTCCATTTTGGAAGTGTTTGTAGTTACAGAACAAGGAAAGTCCTTTGGAAGGGACCACAATTGGCAAGTTATAGCAAAGAGGGGAGCTCTCTGCTGTAGGTTTCAGGTGCTGTCCAGTGACCTTCTTAGCTTGTGGAATAGCTAAGAAAAGTAGTGTACGGTTTTGATAGTTCACAAGGATGTTAAGTCAGACACGGGGGCGGGGGGGGGGGGGGGGGGGGTGTCAGGGAGTTCAGAGAGACCAAAAATAGCCCAAGATAATTTGGCCGTGGTTTGAAAAACAATTTCAAACAAGCCATTTGGCCTGGAATCTTTAATACAGGTGCAGCTCCCCTCTTGCTCTCTTCTGGGAGTTTCAAGTCACAGGAACATCAGCAAAGGCCAAGTCAAAAAGTCAAATATGAGGCCCTTCGGGCTTCATGAATAATTAAGAGAAAATACTAAGGACTTTTCATCAAACTCCCCTGAAAGCAAAAGATGTACAGGGTCAGGGGATCTGGGAATCATGGGCAAAAGCATGCAAGGCTGAGTATGCTGCTCTCAGGCCTTCAGGGTTCAGAGATGACTTGCTTGTCTTATGTCTCAAGAAGGCCTTTCTGGCTTTCCTGCAAAGAGTGGGGAGGAGAGGTGGGAAACTGAAGCCCAGGTGGGTGAAAAAGCAATAATCCAGAGCTTAATGGAGACTCAGTCACCCTAGAGGTGGCAAAGTGGCTTCATTTGTACCCAGCCCTCAGCCTGCCACATGGAAGAGGACAGTGCTGGAACTGCGGTGTGGCCAGCCAGTGAGGGTTTCTGAGCAGACTAGCCCCTGAGCCAGGTGGGCACTTAGAGACACATGCAAATATTACCAGATACAAGGTCCCCATAACTTCATTCAAATAATACTTCTAGAACACTTAGTTATGCAAAAAAATATTTGTATTTCCACCCAACTTCAGTAGCCTGGGAGCTAGCTCGTGTGGCTGGAAAGATTCCCTACTCTGCCCGGCCAGGCTGCTGCTGCATCTGGACCGTCAGTGGGACTGGAGGACTTGGAGGGGCAGATGGTCTTCCTCTGGGGCACCGTTCTTCCCAGGTTTCGAGGTGGGGTTCTTTTCATAACCTGTAAACAGAATAAAGAACACTGTGGCTTTGCCCTTAGTGTATCCCTGGGCAGTGTGTGCCAGGGAAGTAAGAAAAGGCCAAAGCTGGGTTGGTGGTGGCCCACACACTCGATCCCAGCACTCAGGAGGCAGAGGCAAGTGAATCTCTACGTTTGCAGCCAGCCTGGTCTACAGAGTGAGTTCCAGGACAGCCAGGGCTACACAGAGAAATCCTGTCTCGAAAATGCCCCCCCCCAAAAAAATAAAGAAAAGGAAAGGCCACAACCATGAAAGCCCACCATGTTCTGGGTCTAACAGTCAATCCTGCAGCCCCATCCCCCTGTGTTTCCTCCTGCTGGAATCCCCTGAAGCCCTTCCATGGGCCGTTCAGAGGTCTCACCACAGGAATTCAAAAGTCCCCAGAGCTGACAGGCTCTGTCAGAAAACAGAACATCTGAGGCACACTGAAGAGCAAGGGAGAAGCGGGTCAGGAGCTCAGGGAGCTTAGAGGAGAGAGGTAACCCTTCTTTACTGTTGGGGGTGGCCAACAGAGGAGAGCACAGAGACAGAGAAGGAAGTGTCAAGAAAGCAAGGAGTACCACAGCATGAGTGGCTAGCATGTTGACAGAACTCTGAGGAGTGAGTCAGGCAACAGCTGTGGGCCTTGAGCTCCACGCTGAAGACCGTGACCGTGTGGGCCCTGTGTGGTGTGGGCCCTGTGAAGTCCTTGTTTACACTAGCCAGAATGGAGTGGGACAGGCCTGAAGCAGGAAGTTTTGTCTGAAGGTTGAGGTACATGCCGAGACATCTTGCAGTGGTTACAGAGGTTCACCTGTAAGGGGATGCCTGAGAGGCTAAGGCATCAGCATCAGATTGGAGGGAAGGGCCGAGATCCTCCATCTGGGTGTGAAGAGTGCAGCCACATGCATGCTGCCTGCTGGGGCGACCCCAGAGCTGTTTGCAGCCAAGCTGGTGTGGCCAACGAGCAGCAGGGTTTGGGGTGGGGGTTTGGGTATGGAACACCTGGACCAGATGGGGGCAAAATGACTCATTGCCCTGGCATTGCGTGAAGGGGTAGAGAAAGTAGACAGGAAGCCTTGATGTGGGGATAGGAGGTAAGAAACCAGTCGGCTTTAGGGCAGCAAGATGCCGGCAGCCTCTCTTGTAACAGGTCACACTCAACTTGGGAGGGCATTAGGGAGAGGGTTGGGGCATTTGGCAAGAGACGTTTGGCAGGAAAGAGAAGGGAAAACTGAGGAAAAACCCTGAAAGCTGTGGGGAAGGTTGAGAGGGAGGAGCTGGTTTTAGTGGAGGCAGAGAGGTGGAAACAGGAAAGGTTCTTAACATGCTAGAACAGAAAAGGCCAAATGCCACAGAGACTTACAGGAAGTGACTGTGTGTGTGTGTGTGTGTGTGTGTGTGTGTGTGTGTGTGTGTGTACTGAGACAGGGTTTCTCTGTGTAACAGTTCTGGCTGTCTGCAAACTGGATTTGTAGAACAGGCTGGCCTTGAACTCACAGAGATCCACCTGCCTCTGCCTCTCCAGCGCTGGGATTAAAGACGTGCGCCACCACGAGGCAGGAAGTGACTTCTACTGTGGGGTTAAGGGAGTAGTGCTTATGTAGTGGCAGAAATCTCAGGTCAAGTAGGCTGGCCTGTCAAGCAAAGCAGGGGCCCAGGGAAATGCCACCCCTGCAGTAGGCCAGGATAGGATGGGGGTTGGGGGGGAAGGGTAGAGGGAACACACTCCCTGACTTAGTCCCTTGCTAGGAACCAAATCCAGCCCAGGTCTGGACAAAGGGTACAACTGACAACCAGGGCAGGGACAGCAGAGAGGCCAGAGTGAGGCAGAAGGGCAGGGCATCCTAAGAGCTGAGAATCTTTGCCCAGACAGGACAGAAGGGCAGGCTTGCCATAGAGAAGGACTAAGGCACCAATCTCTACAGGAGGAGTAGGTGGCTCACACAGGGTTCTGAGTCCCATCCCGGACTCTCAAAGGCTATGTTACCAGCAAAGCCACAGCGCATACTCACAAGAACCAGGGCAAGCCGGGCGGTGGGGGCGCACGCCTTTAATCCCAGCACTCGGGAGGCAGAGGCAGGCGGATCTCTGTGAGTTCGAGGCCAGCCTGGTCTACAGCGTGAGATCCAGGAAAGGCGCAAAGCTACACAGAGAAACCCTGTCTCGAAAAACCAAAAGGAAAAAAAAAAAAAAAAAAAAAAAAAGAACCAGGGCAAGGGTGCTAACCCCAAGGCTACTCACCAGGGATGCCCGCCCCCGACGGATCCTCAGACAAGGTGGGGAGCGTTTTCTCCCATGCAGCCCAATTCACTTCCTCCACCCTGTGGTTGACAAAACAGCTCTCAAGTTCAGGGAAGCTAGCAGCAGCCTAGCAGGCTTTGCCCCTGGGAGGGAGCACCACCTCCCTCCTCCCAGTGGACTGTACAGATAATGAGGAAGATGGTTTTGTTTTCTTTGTTTCCGCCCTTCCCTAGAGCCACCAGAGGCTTGGGAGTGAGATCAGGTTGTCTTTGAGGTTGTGGTCTCTCATGGCTGCTTGTCACGAATAAAGCCCTCATCTCCTCCCTCGCTCAGCTGCTGCCCAAAAAGATGTCGGCTGTGGCTGGGCATTAGTCACCACATTCCCTCTCAATCCCATCTTCTCTGAACATTGAAAAGCTTGGTTTCCATGCAAGGGGATATAGCTCCAAGATCAGACCGGAAGATATAGGGTTGAGGGTAGCCATAGTGACCCCAGAATACTGGCTTCTTGGCCTGAGAGAAAGTCAGGAATCACCAGGGAGGGACCTTAAGTTTACACCACTGGGATGGCAGGGCTGGACGGGCTAACACACAAGCAGCAGCGGCAGCAGGGCCAGGGAGTGGATCTCTGAGATCCAGCATCCCTGACCTTCCCCGCCCAGATGGAGTACTCTGGTTCTCCTCAGCACACCCGATTCAGGAGCGCGAAGCTATCCTGGATCATCCAGGCCCCAGCCTGTCCTGCCCACTTGGCTCACCTGAAGCACCAGCGCTCATCCGGTACACCGTCCCATCTGGTGCCCACTTTCAGCAGCCTCCCTGAGCGATGCTTCCTCCTCCTGCACCACCAGTAACCGTTCTCCATCTCCAAGACAGAGATGGCTTTCTGGGGACAAAGGACACATCAAACAAAGCCTCCTGGGACCCTGCCTGGAGGAAGAAGCTCCCGAGCAAGGGGGAAAGATGCCCTCACAGAAGGTTCCCCATCTGTAAACTAAGGAAAAGTCACCTCAGGTGGTGTTTGTGGCATACACATAAGGAGTGCTTAATAATGGCTTGTTCTTAGGCACTTCAGACTCCAGAGTGTATCCCCTCTCTCAGGTGCATGCCCAGTCACACACATCCCCGGGCATCCCAGACCCCACTGGTGCCGGCACTTGAGACTCAAGGAGGAAATGGCCCAAGGACAATAATAACGTGTCAGGCAGCAGAGTCCAACCTCTAGGGCAAGGCTCACCCTGGCCAAAACCTACACAGCCTTTCTCTCATCAAGTAAGACACAGCTAATGCTTCTATGGGGCAGGTGTGTGTGTGTTTTTGTGTGTGTGTGTGTGTGTGTGTGTGTGTGTGTGTGATATCAGACCCTCCCAATCTTTCTCCCCTCCTCCCACATCAATCTAACGGTATTTTACATGTGTGGAGCTCAGGAGGGGCCTTTGTCTTGTCCTCCGCGGGGCTTGTACTGCATAGCCCTACCAGTAATAGGCATTCAAGACACTTGATATTCAGGCATGGTAACTCACATCTGTAATCCCTCACTCACAAGACTGAGGCAGGGGGGTTGCTGTGAGTTGGAGGCCAGTCGGTGATAGATAGTGAGACTCTGTCTCGATAATAATAATGCCAATGGATCATGGTAACCGACTCAACTCAGTGAACACCTGCTATGTGGCAGGCACTGTCCTGGACACTTCCTATTCCCACGCTCCTATGATCCTCATAAGAACCCTATGAAGGAGTGAATGGCTACAATCTAGAGGCTGGCCCTGCTGGGCTGAGCCCACGTGCCTGGGTGCTGGGCCCTCCGCAGGGTCCCAAGGGTGAGAGAGGAACGCCTCACGGGCCGTACCTGCAGCTTCCAGATGCTCCAGCTGTCAGTGGCAACACTGTTGACGGTCTCGCTCATGAGGGCAATGAGCATGTTGAGCAGCAGAACATAGGTGAGAAGGACGTAGGCCAACAGTAGCAGCAGCACCACCCCACGGAAGCGCAACTGTTCCTGGAAGGCCAGCTCCCCCATGCCAATGGTGAACTTGAAGAGCTCTAGCGAGGCATCCAGAATGCCCCCGTATGGGACCTCCTCCTCTTCCTGGCCCAGCATGGGCTGTTCTGTCACTGTGGTTTTGTTATCTGCAGGGGCTTTGGGGCTTTGGGCCTCCCGGCTCAGGCTCACTAGGGCTGTAGGTAAGTGAGAAGGGGGAGGCGGAGGTCTCAGTCTGGGAGACAACCGGGCAGCCTGCAGGGTGGGTGGGGGAGGGGCAAGAAGGGGTATTTGGACTGGCGAGATGGCTCAGTGGGTAAAGGTGTTTGCCTCCAAATCTGATGACCTGAATTTGATCCCCAGGTCCCACTGATGGAAGAAAAGAGCCACCTTCCATAAATTGTCTTCTAACCTACACACACACACACACACACACACACACACACACACACACACACACACTAAATAAATGAATGGATGAATAAATAAAATTTAAAAATTTTAAAACTGTATGTGGCTATAACCCCAGCCTTGCAGGGCAGAGACAGACAGATCCCTAGGCCTCACTGACCACGCTACTTAAAAACCAGCAAGCTTCCAGTTCAGTAAAAGACACTGTCTCAAGACAGTGAACAGAGAACAGTAGCAGAAGACACCCTGCCTCCTGCGCAGGCCTCTCTGCGTGCATGTACGGTAAGTTCCCAGACCCACATTCGCACACATGCGCGCACTACACAGGAACACACACACACTCAAAGTGTAAAAGAGTCCTTACCTACAGCGAAGCCGAAAAGGAAGACCAGGTAGACCAGCAGGAATCGGAGCAGGTCTCGCAGAATGACCTGGAACACATGAGCCCAAGGGGAAGGTTGGGTGAATGGCCCACAGCATACTGACCCTACTCCCCATAAGTGGGCTCCGTTGTACACACACCCCTCCCACAGACAGTGTGTGCACAGACACAGGTCATTCTGAGCAGGAGGAGCTTTTAAAGGAATCTGCCTCCAGCTCAGGTGAAAGTGGGTGAAAGTGCTTACCCGCAGGCATGTGAGCCTGGCTTTGATCCTAACCACTGAGCCATTCCTCCAGTCCCTATTTTACCAGGATTTTTAAACCCCAGGCACCCACCTGCTTCCCTACTCCCTCCCCCGCTCTTGCCCTGCTTGGCATTGCAGTCTCCTGGCATTGTCTCAAGCATTGTCCACTTGCTCTGGTTCTTTTTCTTCACTTGTATTGTTCCCTCTGAAGAGGATGCTTCCCCCTCCACTCTGAGGTGGCTGACTCATCTTCCAGGTCATCACTAATGGACTGTAGGTCTATCTCAGAGGTAGAGTGCTTGCCTAGCTGTCTGAGGGTCAGCATCCCATCCTCTACACTGCATCAAAAAAAAAAAAAAAAAAACATAAAAACTCCCTCTTCAGCTGGGGGGAGGGTGCACACCTTTAATCCCAGTGTTTGGGAGGCAGAGGCAAGCGGATCTCTGTGAGTTCGAGGCCAGCCTGATCTACAGAGCAAGTTCCAAGACAGCCAGGACTACACAGAGAAACCCTGTCTCAAAAAAACAAAACAAAACAAAACACCTCTTCAGAAAGGGTTTTGTGCATCATCTAAAGTGCCATCTGCCCCAGTCATTCTCCATAGCTCTGCTGTGTGTGTTTCCTCTGTTGGGTCTTGTAGTCAGCAATATCCTGAACTGTGTTCTTAGCAATTTCATTCCCCACACTGGAACATCAGCTTCAAAAGAGGAAGGACTTGTCTGTTTTGTTCACAGCTGTGTTCCCTATGTAGAAAGAACCAGGACCACAGTGGACGCTCCTAAACACTTGTGAAACAAATGGGTGCAGACCGATGCGAATGTCCCCATGTCCCAAGACTCAGACAAATAGATAAGTGCCCATGAAAATATCATCTGCTCCTTTATGAAAGATGCACATGTTCCTATGTGGACACCTGCCAACAATGTATGTGTGTGCATCTGCATACGTAGGAAGACATCCAGGTACATGCAGGCCCACACCCGCAGTAATGTTGGGCAAGTGCCTGGGTAAATGGCACATGGGCAAACAGCTCATGCTCTCTTCTGCTCAGGTTAGCTGTGGAGGATAGCTCCTGCCTCATGAGGCCAAAAGGAGTCTAGTGGGAGGTGGTGTCTGGGCCTCCGTGGTCTGGTGCACCTGGTCCACCCCCATCTCTCACCTTCTGGATCATGACACTGTAGATGCCTGTGTGCTGGAAGCCGCGTGTGTAGTAAAGCAGGTTCAACCAGCCCAACACCAGGGATGACACCAGCAGGGGGAGGTACCATTCAGTCTCCAGGAAACGCAGCACCTGGGACAGCACGGTGAGCAGAGCCTGGACGAGGCTGGGTGGGGACGAGATGTGGGTCAACCTCCAGGCCACTAGGCAACAGCCCCCACTGACTGCCTCTACCACCTCAGATGGACTCCATCTGTCTGCAGCTGGACCAATCACAGCCTGACCTCCATCCTGGACAAGTTATTCATTTATGCTCTGGGCTTCCTACTTGGTTTTGTTTTGTTTTGGTTTTTTGGTTTTTCGAGACAGGGTTTCTCTGTGTAGTTTTGGTGCCTGTCCTGGAACTCACTCTGTAGACCAGGCTGGCCTTGAACTCACAGAGGTCCACCTGCCTCTGCCTCCCGAGTGCTGGGATTAAAGGTGTGCGCCACCACCACCCGGCGGCTTCCCACTTGTAATCATGATACCTGAATCAAACATTGAGACGCTCCATGGAAAGAGGCTCTGCAAAGATGGGAATGTGAAAGGGCCCAACCAAGCTGCCCGGGAGCCAGGGGTCCCAGGTCTGGCACACACTCCCATCCTTGCCGCCAAGAACAACTTGGAGTTCTGGGTCCCGGCCTCCACAACCAGCTTGGTGCTCCCTGCCACACCTGCCACACCCAGACCTCAGAGACAGTATGGGAAAGGAGAGATGCGCGCGTACAAGAGGATTTCAAAGTAGCTGTCCATGAATGAGATCCAGATGAACAGACGGCGGCGCCAAAAGTACCACAGCTGCGGAGGAGAGAGAGGTCAGAGCGTGTGAAACTTGCTCTTCAGATCTAAGCGCAGCCAGGCCGCCCCTGTGGCCGGGACTGCAGCCCCCCAACACGCTTCCAGTTATGGCCACCTGGCTAACACCACCTCAGTGCCTAAAAGGTAGCCTTTCCCTCACCACCACCCCCATATGTAGCTTGTGCTGGGTAGTTTTATGTCAACTTGACACAAGCCAGAATCATCTGAGAGGAGGGAACCCTAGCTTAAAAAAAAAAAAAAAAAATGCCTCCGTAAAATCACGCTGTAGGCAGGCAAGCCTGTAGGGCATTTTCTTAATTAGTGATTGATGGAGGGGGGCCTAGTCCATTGTGGGTGGGGCCACCCCTGGCCTGATGGTCCCGGCCTGCCTGTGAATTTGTTTTCCCAGCCGTGAAGAGAGTATATTTAACTCCCTGTAAAGTTCTGGTTTGCTTCTCGGGTAACTGGAAGCTACACAGGGTGGAGAAACAGGAAGGAGTCCTTACCTGGCCCAGTAAGAGGTAAAAACCCCCAAGCAGAATCAGGATGTGGCCCAGCAGTAGCATGGAATCCCCAAAAGTCGCTTTTGATGAGGGAATGGCCGGCTGAAGAGACAAACACTCCCATAAGACCTAGAGTCTTGGGTCCCCTCCCCGATGCTAGCTGTCCAAGAGCCCTGAGGGAGGGACAATTCTGAGCCTTCACTGTGGAGAGGCCACTCTAAGCATCAGAGAGGACGTGGGCTCTGGGGCGGGGCCCTGATTCCAGTCCCTGAGAAGCAGTTATAAGAGAGCAGTTATTAGCATTGGGTTTGGAGCCAGATTTTCTGGCCTCAGGTCATCTCTACCACCGAGAGTTTTTATTACCATAGATAATATATTAACCTTTCTGCGCCTCTCCCTTACCTCAGTAGTAAACTAAGAGTGGCGGTCCTTCATCCCAGAGGTTGGTGTGAGCAGTCATTAGTTAACACATGCTAACCACTTAGACTCTTGACTCACATCTGGCAAGCATCCAGTAAGAATTAATTATCGTTGCTGTCGTTACCCTAAGGGACTGTTCCCAAGAGCTCTGGGTATATCCTTCAAGTCACCTAAACCTCCATGTCACCTTTGGTAGGATAGGTTGGTGCTTCCTGCCCCTTCCCACTCCAGGGCTGCTTCAAGCAGGTGTGCCCCGGGGCGACCCCAGCCAGCTCTTGCCTTCTCCAGGGAAGGCTGGTGGTAGGCAACAATGGTGAAGACGATCATGTAGGCCAAGTAACAGGCGAAGTTGAAGAAGAATCTGGGGATGAGCCGATCCCATTTCTCCTGCAGAAGCTTGTTCAGTGGCTCTAAAACCACCATGCGGTGCCGGTGCTGGGGCGGCAAAGGGAGAGTCAAAGCACAAGGTAGGAAGGACAGAGCTGGATCAATGACGGTAGGACAAGCAGCCACTTCGTGGCAGGCTCCACGCAAGGGCCGGGGCAGATGGAGAGGAGCAAATGCGGAACAGGTTCCCAGACCCAGGACCCCTGGAAGGACCCCTGGAAGGTGCCTCCCACGTGCCTGCGTTCCAGCGCTTGTGCTATGAAGTGGAGGAAGGCTTGCCCTTTGCCAGAATCTCTAGGCAGCCCAGCAGCCCGTGGACTTACCGGGCTCCTGCAGTGAAAGGCGATGATTTCCAGCACCGAGTTCTTTTCCCAGCTGTCCACCGAGGACAGGTCATACAGTGACACCCGGACAGGACCGTAGCACCACTCAGTGAACTTTCGGGAAAGGGGCTGGTACAGTCCTGAGAACTCCCGCTGCAGAATGTGCCTGAAAATCTGCAGGGCAGTCACATGAGTTCACCTACTAGTCACCTTCCCTGCATTAATGCTATGCCAGGGCCGGGCAACATTGTGGGCCCCCACAGAGCACATGGGTCCTAGTATGTTTCAACTCTTACAGATACCCAACCAAGAGTGAACTGTCAGGTTTACATGCCCACATATGCATAGGCTGACAGGCAGCTTGGCTCTGTCTTCCCCTGTCCTGCACCGTGGACTTGTTTCCTGAGTTCCTAGGATAGCACAGAGATCCCAGCAGGGGATGTGAGGTCACTTGAAATCCGAGACCACCAGTTCCAGGACAGACATAGCTAGAGAAACCCTGTCTTGATAAATATCCCTCATTCTTAACACTGGCGATTGCACACTTCTGTGTGTGATATGAAACATCTCTGAAAATAAAACGTAGATCCTCACAAGGTACTTGGGAGGGAAAAGGAGAACTGGGCAATGCTTACTCTTTCTACCCCAAGTACTTTCAAACAACTCCATTTTAGACGTTAAAAATAAAACCGTAGGGGCTGGAGAGATGACTCAGTGGTTAAAAGCACTTGTTAGTCTTACCGAGGAACCTGGTTCAGTTCCCAGCACCCACATAGTGGTTCACAATCATCCATAACTCCAGTTTTAGGGTATCCAATACCCTCTTCCGACCTCTGCGGGCAAGTCACTCATACACATAAAATAAATAAATCTAAAACAAATTTTAAGTAAGCTAAAAATAAATAGCAGCACCATGTATGAATGATGCATGCCTATAATCCCGACACTGGGGAGGCTAAGGTGAGCGATCAGGAAGAGTAAAGGTACTTGCTGTCAAGCCTGATGACCTGAGTTCAATCCCTGGAACCTACATGGCAGAAAAAGAGAACCAACCCCGCAAGTCACCATCTAAATTCCATATATGTGCTACGGCATGTGTTCACATTTATGCACACACACATAATAAATGTGAATAAATAGAGTTCAAGGGCAACGTAGGCTGATAAGACTCTGTTTCAAAGCAAACAAACAAAAAGAAAGAAAGAAATTGCAAAAGATTGGAATAAAATATAGATAGGTGTATGACATATAATGATAACACATGCATAATTGTGTTATTATATTAACATACACTACAAGCTACATACCGTGGTGGCTAATCTTCTCAACAGGATCTAGAAGCACTGAAGAGACAAGTCTCTGGGCATATATATGAGTAACTGTCTAGATTAGGTCAATAGGGATGGAAAGACACACTCTACATGTGGATGACACCATCCCATGGCTGGGATCTTGGGCTGAATAGAAAGGAGACAGTGAGCTGCGCATCATCTCTCTCTGCTTCCTGACTGCAGCTGCAATGTGACCAGCGCCTCATGTTCCTGCTGTGGTGCCGTCCCTGCGACGGTGACGGGTATCCTCAGTGTGAGCCAGACAAACCCTTCCTTCCTTAGTGGCTTTTGTCAGGTGTTTTGTATAACAACATGGAAAGTAACTAAAACACATGTAGCAAGTACATATAAGTACAATACTGGTGCCAGAGGAATGGCTCAGTGGTTAAGAACACTGGATGCTCCTCTATAGGACCCAGGTTCAAGTCCCAGCACCCACATGACAGCTCACAACTGTCTGTAAGTCCAGTCCCAGGGGAACTGACACCCTCTTCTGGCCTCCCAGGGCACCAGGCATGCATATGGTACACAGATACCCATGCAGACATATTACATATATAATCTTGTAGAAAGTATTAAGTAATAGGAAAACCAAGGAATTTAAAGGAAAAGATAATTCTGCCTGTATACACAAAAGTGCCATTTGGTTTGGTTACTCACACAGGGACTAACCATATTGCCAAGGTTGGTCTTGAACTCTTAGGCTTGAGTGATTGTCTTGATTCAGCCTCCCAGGTAGCTGAGACTATAGGCAACCATGCCAAACCACAAACATACGAATACTTTAAATTCTATATATCAAAAACACAGAGAACAACAACAAAAAACCCACTACCATCTCTTTTCTTTTTGTTGATTGATTAACTGATTGGTTGATTCTTTGGTTATTTTGAAACAGGTCTCACTTTGTAGCTCTAGCTGGCCTGCAACCTGTTATATTGACCAAACTGACTTAGAATTCATAGAGAGCCACCTGTCTCCGCCTCCTGAGTGACCATATACTTAAAAAATATTATTTATTTTTATGTGTACAGGTGTCTGTGTACATACCCAGGGAAGTGACAGAAGTCAGCTCCTTGAGGCTGGAGTTCCAGGCAGCTGTGAGCTGCCTGATATGAGTGCTTGCCACACCAACTCCAGTGTCGTCCGTGTGACATAAACAATTATGTCAATAATAGCAGATGGGAGATACGTGTCCCACAGGACTAAGCTCCCTGGAGGTCCCTGGCAGAGTGCCCGTGTTATGCCTCCTTCTTGAAGGAGACGTGCTTCACAGATCATGAGCTCTCTGGGCTATGGGTTCTGTATAACTGCTTTCCTGATAATGTTCTAATTAATCTATGAAGCACAGTCAAAATTAATGAATGCTTGGGTTGTGAACTATGGAGGAAAGGGGAAGCTGGACATGGACCTTATTTAGATATAGCAGAGTGAGCTATTCCTTAAAGACCCCAAGCCGCTAGATAATAGAAAGTATAATAGTTCAGGCACTTCTAGGGAATGAACACTCACCCACTAGGAATCCTTTAGGAATCCCAACTAAAGTGATTTATGACAGAAAACGTTATCTCATAGAAGGCAGATGGTGGGCCCCTCTGTTGAGGAAGTTCAGCATGGGAAACTTAAGGACTACAGCAGAACCCCTTCCCCTTACAGGCGTAAAAGTGTAAGAGTCCATATTTCAGCAGGTAAAAAGGTTTTATATTAAAACAGATATGTGATAAAAGAACTAAAGAAAGACTTAGAGAGGATCTGCAGCATCCAAATTGGCTAAGTGGGTCATGAGAACCAGAAAAGTAGAAGTGCATAATAAACTAGCGAGCGGCTGAGATAAAGATGAAGGACACAGCTGCAACCGCAAAGAAGCCTTCACAAGTCTAGGGACTGTACTAAGTTTAAAAAACACAGACTGCTCTTTGGGTCATAAAGTTCTTGTGGGTGAAGGGATATGTCTAGCACCGATTAATAATTGTGTGCTTGCTGCTTTTTAAAGATGATGTAATTGAATTATTGCCCAGCTCTTGCTGTTCCTTGTATGACTTGATAGTTTTCTTTTCTGTATATAAACTACTGATTTGCAGAAGTAAAAGTGCAGCAGATTCAAACCACTTCTGAATGTGTTGTCTGTCAGTCACCGAATCCTTGCCTTCCTGACTACCCAAGCTCTGGTCCCCCTACGGTCGTGGTACCCCCCCCCCCCATGGGCCAGTCCATGGCAAGTGCTGGCAATCTAACTTGGGTCCTCTACAAGAACGATATGTGCTCTTCACCAATGAGCCTCTTCTCTAGCCCCAACCATATCGTTGTTCTTCTTTCTTTCTTTCTTCTTTTTTTTTTTTTTTGGCTTTTCAAGTCAGGGTTTCTCTGTGTAGCTTTGGAGCCTTTCCTGGACTAGCTCTGTAGACCAGGCTGGCCTCGAACTCACAGAGATCAACCTGCCTCTGCCTCCTGAGTGCTGGGATTAAAGGTGTGCGCCACCACCGCCCAGCTAATTTTTAAAGCTTATAATGAGAAAAAAAAAATGTGAATGTCATAGTAGGTAAAATCTGAAGAAAATCTAATAGCAAATGAGACAAAATGTAGAAAAAAAAAGCTATTGGGTTAGTGTGAATGAAAATGTCCCCGAGATGCTCAGGTGTTTGACTATTTGGTCCTACCAAGTTGGTGATGCTGTTTGGGTAGGTTTAGGAGGTGTGGCCTTTCTGGAGGATATACGTCACTGCAGGTGGGCTTTGAGCTTTGAAAGCTGTGTACCATTCCCAGTTCCTTCTCTGTTTCCTACTTGGGTGTTGAGCTCTCCATGCTTGCCTGCTGGCACACTTCCTTACCTGATGGTGATGGACTCATGCCTCTGGAACTCTGCCCAAATAAACCCTTCTCCAAGTTGCCTTGATCATGGTCTTTTATCACAGCAACAGAGCAGTAACTAATATAGCTATCTCCCGGATGCTGGAGCCATCACTCAGTGGTTAAGGGCACTTGCTGCTTCTGCAGAAGATGAAGGTTCAGTTCCCAGCACCCACATGGCAGTTCATAGTCATCTGTAACTGCACCCTTTTTTGGCCTCCATAGGCACCAGGCATTCTCCCAGTGCACATATGTTCATACAGGCAAAATACTTATGTACATAAAATAAAAATAATCTTTTTTTTAAATGTTGTTTCTTGGGAAGAGGCAGTCATTGTCATCCTGTGTGCCTTCCAGGTACCAATGGATAGTTTGAAACCTATGGCCGCACAGATGACCCTATTTAAACTCAGTTAAACAAGACAAGACAAAAAGAACTGAATGGGAGAAAGGAATGTAAGGAGACCGGTTGACAGGAAAGAGGCAGGGATAATGAAGGGTTCAGGGTGAGAGGGACCAGAATGCATTATATACATATATGAAGTGACTGCCTGAGTCCTGCTGCAGCTAAGAGAGGCAGGATAGGGAACAGTACTCACCTCAATTTTGCCTTCCTTGGCAGCCAGCTTCAGAGGTGTGAGGCCTTGATGGTTGCAGATATCCTCAAGCTGCACAGTGGGGCAGAGGCGGGCCCCCACTTGGAGAAGGCCATCATACATGTGGATCACCAGTGCACTGTTCTCAGGCGAGTTATCTGCAATCATTACCAGAGCATGCAGGACTGTGTTGCCCAGGGAGTCAGCGGCCTCAAGGCTGGCAGGCTGGTGAGGGTTCTCCAGGAGGTAGGTCACCACATCCCACTGCTTGGTGCACGCAGCCAGAGAAAGAGGTAGCTCACCTGTGGAGCAAGAGGGCAGCTTGAAGCTGGGCAGGTGGCACACACCTTCAATCCCAGCACTCGGGAGGCAGAGCCAGGTGGATCTCTGTGAGTTCGAGGCCAGCCTGGGCTACCAAGCGAGTCCCAGGAAAGGCGCAAAGCTACACAGAGAAACCCTGTCTCGAAAAACGGAAAAAAAAAAAAAAAAAAAACCAGCAACGAAGAGAGAGAGATAAAGGCACCTGAAATCCACACTGGCCTCCATCAACACATCAACAAGGAATAATTTTTTTTTTTTCCTGGAGCTGAAGACCTAACCCAGGGCCTTGTGCTTGCTAGGCAAGCACTCTACCGCTGAGCTAAATCCCCAACCCCAACAAGTATTAATATATATACCACACACACATACTTTAAAAAGTTGAACCCAAGGCCTTCTGCATGCCAACCAGATGCTCCACCATGGAGTTACACCCTGAGTCTGCCTACTGACCCTTAGCACAAACAGTTCTTGCAGTCCATCCTCTCCCTAGTCTGGACTTGAGTACATGCTGAGTTTCCCTGCCCAAAAGGAGATCAAGCATTCTTTAAACAAGTTGTAATTTAATTAGTCTGGTTAGAAGCAGGCAGACTGGGGTCCAGTGCCAGCTCTGCCAACCACTAACCATGTGACCTTGGACAGCGCTATACCCAATCTGTGCCTCTAAGAAAAGCTCCCTCACCAAAATAGAAACAAGTTCCTTGGTGCTTTTGGAAGAAGCGGCCACAGGCTCGGAGGTGAACATCTGCTCCATTCTCTACCAGCAGCTTCACACACTGCAGGCTCCTCTTCTCTATGGCAATATGCAGCGCACTGTGGCCACGGTAGAACTCATCGGTGCACTGGGCGTTGACAAGGGGCTGAGGATTGCCGGAATTCTTGTCAATCTGCAGCAGGGGCAGGATGCAGGCATTGATCCCATCCTGAAGATTCAGCACAGCCTTCATCAGGCACGTCTTCCCTGTGGAGCCCTCTGCAAAGAGAAAGGGGAAGGGATAGGCAATGTTCAGACCCAGCAAGCCTGGACCATCTGCTAGTTTGTACTGCAAACCTAGGCTCCAGAGTATCCCATGGGAGGATATAAAAAGATCGCTGCTATATGCAACTGGTGGGAACACAGCTTGGCTGCAAGATATTAAGACTCCAGAACACAGGCATTAAAATACCACCAGGCCTGACTACAATTTCTGCCTTAACACCAATTTCTAAGGCACAATCCAATACACATGTAACATTATCTGTGTGGAGTTTGGGTGGTGGAGTGTGTGTGTGTGTGTGTGTGTGTGTGTGTGTGTGTGTGTGTGTGTGTGTGTTTTGTTTTGTTGCAGGGTCTTACTTTGTAGTTCTGGCTGGCCTCAAACTCATAGAGACCCACCTGTCTCTGCCTCCCAAGTGCTGAGATTTAAGGCATGAGCCACCACACTACTCTGTGACATTCATTATCTTTCCATGAATATACAGGGCAGGGCTGAGGATATTGAGTTTGAGCTCCACACCACATCAAGCCAGTCATGGTAGCACATGCCTGTGATCCAAGCACTTGGGAAGTGGAAGCGAGATCAGAAAATCAAGGTTGCCGGGCGGCGGTGGCGCACGCCTTTAATCCCAGCACTCGGGAGGCAGAGCCAGGTGAATCTCTGTGAGTTTGAGGCCAGCCTGGTTTACAGAGCAATATCCAGGACAGGCACCAAAACTATACAGAGAAACCCTGTCTGGAAAAAACAAAACCAAAACAAAAAGAAAGTCAAGGTTATCCTCAGTTACATAAGTGAGGCCAGCCTGGGCCATATGAGACCCCTATTTAAAAAAAAAAACAAAACAGTGCAGAATTTGCAAATGGCTCCCTCACTTAATGACTCTGGCTCTTTTAGCCTATTTTCCTTTTTGGATAAAAGGAAATATTCTAGGGTTATTATAAAAACTTATGTGACTAACATAAACAAAGTGCTTAGTGCACCTAGGGCCAAGCATGTAGCAAGTTGGGGTCCCAGACTCCAATCTGAGCAGTCCTGAACAGGCACTGATTGATTAAACGCAGTTCAGTCTACACTGGGATAACCTGTACCATAAGCTAGGTGTGGCAGCACATGCCTTGCAGCACTCAGGGGCCTAAGGCAGGAGACTAAGTCAAGGCTAGCCTGAGCTACATAGTGAGACCCCCATCTTAGCAACCAAATAAATAAATAAGACGTATCCAGTAGAGGGGGGGAGCAGCATATTATAAATTATTGCATGTGGGCCGGGCGGTGGTGGCGCACGCCTTTAATCCCAGCACTCGGGAGGCAGAGCCAGGCGGATCTCTGTGAGTTCGAGGCCAGCCTGGGCTACAGAGAGAGTTCCAGGAAAGGCGCAAAGCTACACAGAGAAACCCTGTCTCGAAAAAAACCAAAATAAAATAAAATAAAATAAATTATTGCATGTGGCAACACTTTATATATATACTCTTCTGGACAAATCTGAAAAGATGCCAAGCCATTAGCAATGGCCTGGGATGACAGGCTTTTTTTTTTTTTTTTTTTTTCTTGGCCTTACACATTTCTTTACCATTTGAATCTTCTAGAGTACACATTTTTTTTCCCCTTTGGTTTTTTTGTTTGTTTTTTGAGACAGGGTTTCTCTGTGTAGCTCTGGCTATCCTGGAACTAGCTCTGTAGACCAGACTGGCCTCGATCTCACAGAGATCCACCTGCCTCTGCCTCCTGAGTTCTTATTTTATAGTACATGCAGTCCCATGAAGGCTGGAAAAGGGCATCAGATCTCCAGGAACTGCTTTTATAGATGGTTGTTAGCTTCTGTGCGGGCGCTGGGAACCTAATCTAGGTCCTCCGGAAGAGCAGTCAGTCCTCTCAACCACTGAGCCATCCCTCCAGCCCTGAGAACAGCACCTCTCTGATCCTAAGCACAAAGGATACCAAAGGGGGAGGGGCTACCTGTGTATGCTGAGTCAGTGAGGTACTTGCTGGTCCGACACAGGTACTCTGGCAGTCCAGCCAGCTCCTCGGGGACACCCCGGGAGACCACACTGAAGAGTCGGTCACGGTCAAAGCGGTTTGGATCCTGCTGGCTGTGGAGAATATGTTTTGTGACTCATGTTGGAGAAAGGCCACAATCCCTCGTGCACAAAGCCACCTCATACATGGGAACATTGTCAGTACTCCTAAGCAATGCACCTCAGGTTACACAGGAATTCTTTGGAAGGCTTCTCTCTCCTAGGGCTCCTAAAGCTCAGAGCTCCAGGTGAGGAGAAGAAACCCATTGGGACATTAATCTGCTGCAATACTACTGCTCTACTCCTCCCAGGCAATCATCAGCATCAAATGCATCATCTTTCAAAAGACTCGTTATCCCACGGGGGTTACTTCCGCTCCCTACCTTGCAGTGGCCCTCTAATGTTTCTATGGGTCTGGACAGGGTTGTATGAGGTGCCTGCAAACTAAAGGCTGCATGTACCACTGACTTTGAAGATGAAATGGAGGGATGGAGATACAGCTCAGCAGTAAAGTGCTTGCCTGGTTGGCATAAGGCCCTCAGTTCATCAACAGCACCAGAGAAAAATTTGAGAAAAGCTCCTTCTTCTTCTCAGAAAGCTCCTGCTCATTAGTTAGAAGTCTGCACTATTTATCTTCACTCCAGCCCTACGGGTAGTGAGTCACTGTTCTCCTTTAGGCAAACAAGTAAAGCAATTTACCTAAAGTTACACAGTGCAGAACTGGAGTGTCATGGGGGGCTGCCCCATCTCTAATCCCCAAGAGAGAGTCTCCGATGGGCAAGCAAGATGCTGCCCAGAGATAGACTATCAGGCTCACCCAGCACTAACTATCACAGGCTGACCATGGTTTTACTGAGAAGCCACACTTCTGGGAAATCTCTTCCACAGAGCCCAGCAGAGGCCTCCTGTGGCGCATTAGAAACACTCTGGAATTGTCTTGTGATGGGCACAGTTGCTTAGTGAGATGGCCCCATCTCCTTCATAAGTCACCTAACCTCTCTTGACCTCCTTTACTCTTTGAAAAGTGGAAATATTCAAGGGTTATTAGAAGGATCATCAAAGTGTATAGCCCATACAGTGGGCCTGGCACACAGCACATTGAGTCCCTAGATGAGTCTAGGCAACCCATTCCTAGGCCATGTCAGAGCTCACAATGGCCTGCCTAACTCTGGGGCCCCTGGAACTATGAAAAGAAGAGATGAGGGGAGAGAGGGCAAATTAAGGAAAGACAGCTACTCCATAATTTGGGGACTCTTAGGTCCCAGCTTAACATCTTGGAAAGCTGGGCATAGTAGCACATGCCTGTAATCCCACCACACATGAGGCTGAAGAAGGAGGATCACCTCAAATTGGGGGCTAGCCTGGGCTATGGGGCAAGATCCTGCCTTAGAACAAGAAAGCAAACAAGCAAGTCTCCTGTGGAATGAGCTGACCCCATAAAGACTGATGACTCTGACACATAGGGTGACTAATGGGGTCATCCACACTTGAAGTCATGCCACCACGGTGTATCTAAAGCCAGCCCTCACATCTGCAATGCCACACAGGTATGTGTCTGCATCATCCTGTCTAACATCCACCCAGTTAGCCACATGGCCACATGACCGTGAGGGGCTCTGCCACAGCCCTGTGGTCTGTTTGCTTGGAAAATGCACGGCCGTTTGGACAAGTGCTTCCTACCACCAGGGCAGGAATAGGAAAGCAAAGAAAGGCACAGACTGGGCGGTGGGGGGGATCGTGGAGCCCATTCTATCTCTATTAGGCCGGCCACACTACTCACAGATGCCTCCACGCACCTGTCTGTGCCGTCAGAAATCTGGCCACAGTTCTTTGGCACACACAACATAGTGGGCCAAGGCTGGTGGCCAAATCTCAGCGATGAGCAAGGAAAAATGGGCTTTCCTGGCAGTCTTGCTGGCCCATGAGGATTCTGGGAAGCCAAGTACAGTTCCCTAGCAGGACTAAAAGCAGTAACCGCAACCCCCACAACTCACTGTCTAATTGGTAGCGAGAACACAGGAAACTCAAAGCATAGATGATGATAAGCAGAAGCCTACTGTCCTCAATGCTCAGGGTCCACATTGCCTGAGTGACTATGTCAGCTTTGGAGGCAAGCTGAGACGCACATTTCCAGATGTCTTTGTCTCTCCCTGGATGCCCTGTGGATCCAGCTACCACCCCAGCTACCACAGGGACCATATGGATGGGAGTCAAAACATCAACAAGGATGGATTTGACTGTCAGTTGCATACTTGGTACTGAATGAGAGTGTCCCTACCAAAAATCATAATCTTGGCAGCAGGCCAAGTATGGAGAACACTCTGGAAGGAGTAACCCAAGGGGAGTAGAATGTGGGGCTTAGGAACCAACACAGCTAGCCTATGAGGAAGACATGTGCTGAATTGGTCACTGAGTGACTTTGGAGTGCTGTGTGGAAGCTTCGCTTGTCCCATCCAAATCTGCAGCCTTACCCGGTGCCTAGTCCCTTTTGGTAGTTGAGATTCACTTTGATCTGCGGGGAGAAATTCCGGTCCTCGCCCTGGAATGGCGATTCCATGGGAGGTGGCTCATGCTTTCCTTTGTTGACTTCTTCGCTGTCTTCTTCATGGTCTCCGTCTGATGTCTCCAGCCTAAAAGCTGGGGGGCTGGGGGGTGAAGTCATACTGAGAGAGGACGATGTTCCTTACAGCTGGACCTTCTGTGGGGCTGCAGATGTCAGGACTCCCTTCTCTCTCATGCCGTGGTGGGGCAGGCTTGCCTTTGACCTGTAGAAGGGGATACTGAGAAGCCGAGAGTAGGACCTGGGGATAAAGTGCAGTGAGTAGAGTGCCTGTTAAGCATACACAGAGTCCTGGCTCCTAGCCTCAGCAAAGCATAAGCTACCAGCAATCCAAGCCAGGGTGCTGGAGAGATGGCTCAGTGGTTAAGAGCACCGACTGCTCTTCCAGAGAACCAGGATTCAAATCCCAGCACCACATGGTGGCTCACAGCACTCTGTAACTCCAGTTCCAGAGGATCCAACGTGTTCTTCTGACCTCCCCAGGCACCAGACACGTGGTGCACAAACACTCATGCTCAGAAAATAAATAATAAATTAATAAAATGTCTTTTTAAAAAGTGGGAAAGGCACCAGGCAGTGGTGGTGCATGCCTTTAATCCCAGCACTCAGGAGGCAGAAGCAGGTAGATCTCTGTGAGTTTGAGGCCAGCCTGGTCTAAAGAGTGAGTTCCAGGACAGCCAGAGTTATAGAAAGAAACCCTGTCTCGAGAAACAAAACAAAAAAAGAGGTAGGAGCAAGAGGGTCAAGTTCAAGGTCATCCTCAGCTATAGAGAGTTTGAAGCTAGCCTGGTAGACTGTCTCAAAAAATAAGAGGAAGAAAGGAAGGAAGGGAGGGAGGGAGGGAGGGAGAGAGGAAGGAAGGAAGGAAGGAAGGAAGATAAGGAGATAGTTCAATCAGTAAAGTGCTTGCCACACAATCAGAAGGACCTAGATCTGGATCTCCAGTCCCCACAGAAAAAGCAGGGCACTGAGGCATATCTTTAATTTCAGTGAGGAAAGGCAGAGACAAGAGGCTCCCTGGGCTCACCGGCCAGCCAGTCTAGCTGAATCGGTGAGCTCAGTGAGAGACCCTGGCTCAGACAAGGAAGTTGAGAGGGATGAGGAAGACATTCCAGACCTACCTCTGGCATCTACACACATACACATACACAAAAATAAAAATAAAAATAAAGAGAGAGCTGCTCCTGGTAGTGCATGCCTTTAGACCCAGCATTCAGGAGGCGGAGGCCAGCCAGGTCCACATAGTGAGTTCCAGGACAGCCAAGGCTATACAACGAGACCCTGTCACAAACAAAGGGGGAGGGGTGGTGGAAGAGCAAGCACCCCACAGCACAGTTAGCCAGACAGGAGGGAAAATGAGCCGTGAGGATATGCTGGGAAGCGGGGACCTGACAGGGCTGTCCCTTTGATATTACCTCTCAGGAAGCCATGAGTGTCTTTAGCTTCCCCCTTGGAAATTTCTGATATTTAAGAAACCTCAAACCCTGTTTAGGGGTAAGAATGTTTGTGTTCACAACCCCACCCTTTCTCGACGTGACATCGAGCCCGGTGCCCAACGGTTCAGACAGATAAAACTTCAGTTGCGGGACCAGGACAGGCCACTCAACGCTTTATTGCAGAAAGGGAGATTCTCCAGTGGAACCACTATCAAATTTTAGGGCCAGCACAACTGAGGCGCAGAAAAAGGAAGCCAGCTTCCACCTCACTTTATGTCATGGTGTTCCTCTTCAGTTCTCAGGACCCAATTCTGACTCATATCTGAGGGCATCAGATGCCACCTCTGTAGGGGCTTTTAGACTGGCAAGCTCTATCTGCCTTCCCACCTCAGACTCCAAACTGGGTCTGGGGTTAGCTGACTGCTAACCTCAACCTCATCAGAAAACAGCAACCACAGCCTCCATCACGTGATCACGGCTGGGCTCTGGTTAGAGCTGGGGAGCCTCTGTCTTCCTCAGAGTGCAGAAACAGGAAGGCAAGAATCAGAACCGGGTCAGGGGACAACGGGGTGGAAGAAAGGGGTAGGGGCAGGTAGGTGGAAGGAAGGGACAGAAAAGAACAGGGTAAGAGATGAAGTCCCAGTATCCTCAAAGAATTGGGTGGGGCATTTTCCACAACAGCCCGGGGACCTGACTGGCTACCTCCACTAGCATTTGTGACCCTCCACCTTTCTGCCTACATTAGAGTATGGGCATCCTCCTTTCGTGCAGCCTAGCTTCTGCCCTCAACCAAATCCTGGCCCATGCGGCCTCTGACACCATTTTCACCCCGCAGCAGCAACAACTGTCTCCCTGGCTTCTGCCCTACCTCCTGGGATCCTCATTCTGGCAGCAGAGGAAGAGGCCTGGAGGTCCAGGGAGCCAGATCCCACACAGACCCTTTGCTCCAGGATGGAGAGGCACGGAGAGCCACCCGATCATTCACTGTCAGACTTCCAGGCGCAACCCCCTAGGACATCCCTAAATTGCCAATCGACTTACCACGCTTGCTGAAGCCAAGGCGTGGCGGCGGCGGGAGGCTGCAGGCCACTAGGATCACCGAGCCTAGCGGGGCTCTCCGGCAGCGGCAGCGGGCACAGAGAGAGAGGAAGTGCAGGCAGGCGGCAGGGGCGCGGCCCGGCGCTGACAGCAACGGGTTGCGGGAACCTCCGCAGCCGTCTCCGAGCTCTCTCGGTGTTGTCCACCCTCAACCTGTTCGTCGCGCACAGTGGACAGTGCGGGTTGAACGCCGACCGGTGAAGGGCCGGTGACTGGCCATCAGATTTATCTTCTGGACCACTGGCCACACCCTGCTCTGGGGAGACACGCCCTGCCCCTTCATCGGTGCACTTTCACCCCCACTCCTGGCCAGAGAAGCCCCTGGGGCAGTCAGAGGCAGTCCTAGGGTGCTGGGACCTTGGCTCGGGTGGGAGCTGGCATGGGTGTGGGATTCGTTCCGCAGTACACTGACCCCCACCCCTCCTGGTTCTTACCACTACATGCCCTCCAGCAGTCATGAGGTTCATAACTGGGGGACCCGCAAACGAGGGAGAGAAGAGTGTGATAGCCCCAGGGAGAGAAGAGGTTCAGTCTAACTTTTGTCCCAGAGAATGCAGCCCCACCCATGCAGCCTTATTTCCATCTAGGGAGAGATTCCCTCAGCATCCTGACCCCAGGGATCCCCAAGGCTCCAGTTTCCATGTATAAAGGCACTTCCAGAAGCAGCCAGCAGGTGGGGACAGGGAGGCTATCAGGAATGGTTGAAATTGTACAGCTTTGGTCCTGCCCTGGAGAACAAGGACTGTCGCACGCGCCTGCGCTCCCCTCTTCCTCTCTCCCTTCCCCTCATTCCCGCCCCCCTCCCTTTCTCCCTCTCTCCTTCCTCTTTCCCTCCCTTTCTCGCCCCTCTCTCCCCATCAAGATCTCTGTCCTTGTTCCATGTCCAGAATTTTGTGTGATTGGTATTGGTCCAAACCACTAATTTCTCTCCCCTGAGAAAGCTCCACACCTCCAAATTTGTCTCCCTCTCACGCCTCGTCTTATGTAATCAACTAAGGGGGCCTGCTAAAAATATAAACCAAGGGCCAGCGTTTAGCACTTAGTGGCATGTGTAAGGCTCTGGGTTTGACCCCCAGTATCAGTAAATGAAGAAAAACTAAATAACAATAAACACATAAATAAACGCCAAGTCAACCCACTCCTCCGCTCAGAGCCACTTTTCCATAGTACTCAGAATAAAATGCAAACTTCGTACACCAACCTCACACGTCCAGAGGCCCTGCCCGGCCCGACCACCTTCACCACCCCACACTCCAAACCTGTACCATCCAGCATGGCAGTCAAAGGGTGGAGCTAGTCACTAGTTAACCATAGACGCCAGGCAGTGGTGGCACACACCTTTAATCCCAGCACTTGGGAGGCTCAAGACTTTGATCCCAGCCCATGGGAGGCTCACACATTTAATCCCAGCATTAGAGAGGCAGAGTCAGGAATGTAAGGTGGGCGGAGAAAGGATCTCGCCCTCCATTGAGTCTGAGGATTCATAGAGGTAAGAAATGACTGTGGCTGCTCTGCTTCTCTGATCTCCAGGCAAGCTTTATTTGTCAGAACACAAACAAAATATCATACAACATTAAATTTTTTTTACTACATATATACATTTAGGAATATCTTTAAAATGTATTTATGAAACAACAAAAATCCACAATGAAGCCTGACATTAGTTGACATTCCAGGGCTCAGGAGGCTGGCACAAAAGGTTACAGTGATTTGTAGACCAGCCTAAATGAATTTCAGTATGTATGTATGATAAATTCCAGGCCATCCTAAGCTACAGTGAGGTCCTTCCTTAAAAAAAAAAAAAACAAAAAACAGCATGGTGGCACACATCTTTAATCTCAGAACTCAGGAGATAGAGCCAGCAGATCTCTGTGAGTTTCAGGCCAGCTTGGTCTACAAAGCAAGTTCCAAGACAGCCAGGTCTGTTACACAGAAAAACTCTGTCTCAAAAAAACAAACAAACAAACAAAAAGCATTGGCAAGGATCTGGAGGAGTTGCAATCTGGTAGATGATAAAAACGTAGTGACTGTTTCTCCAGAAGACTAAATATAGAGTTAACATGTGACCCAGAAATTCCAGCCCTCAGCATGTACTTAAAAGAAATGGAACACGACAGCACAAACACTACATAAACGTTATAACAGCAGCCTTATTTATACAAGAAAAAGGGGGAACCACCAGGGAATGGAAAGAGAAAGAAACCCCTCACTTTTGAGTCTGGTTGAAGCCGGGAGTCAAGAATTCTAGCTCAATGGGCTGGAGAGATGGCTCATCAGTTAAGAGCATTTGTTGGTCTTGCAGAAGACCCAGGTTTGGTTCCCAGCACTTGCATAGTATTTCAAACCATTCATAACTCCGGTTCCAAGAGATCGGAGGTCTTCTGGTCTCTTCAGGCACCAGGCGTGCTCATGGTACACATACAAACATTTACATACATTTGGACAAAACACTTAAACAAAGGAATAGATCCATATACGGCTCAAGTAACAACATTTGCTGTGAAGGGGCCAAAATAGAGTTTTTTGTTTGTTTGTTTTGTTTTGTTTTGTTGAGGCAGGATTTCTCAATGTAGCCCTGGCTGGCCTGGAACTTGCAGATCAGGCTGCCCTTGAACCCACAGATATCCACTTACCTCTACCTCCTGGGTGCTAGGATCAAAGGCATGTGCCACCATACTCAGCATGAAACAATATTTCTCTTATATAGGGATATTTCAAATGAGAATTTTAAAATAGCAATGACTTATGCTTAAGGGCAAGTACATATAGCCTTTCTTCCCTCCCAGCCATAAACACGTAATTTGCTAGGAATTTCACAAGAAACTCCATTTGTATTAATAGTCCTGTCATAGCTCCCTGTGCACCCGTAGGGCCCATGATAGTGTCTTATCAGATTGGAATGGTATCCAAGGCTCATCTATAGCCACTCTGTAATCTCACTTACTGAAAAGGGGAAAAAGCCAGACAGTTCTGGTGCATGCCTTGAATTAGCACTCACGAGGCAGAGGCAGTCTGATCTCTGAGTTGGAGGTCAGCCTAGTCTACAGAGAGAGTTACAAGACAGCCAGGGATATACAGAGAAATCCTGTCTCAACAAAACTGAAAAAGAAAAAAAGAAAAGGGGAAAAGAGATGAAGGAGGGGGATCCTTTAGAAACCAGTTAATCAACATCATCCCCCAAACCTCCAAAATCCTATTATATACATGCTAAGACACTTAAGTGTGAATCGCCTTTGAGAAGCCCTTCCCCATTCTTTGGGGTGTGTATAATTCTCTCCATGAATTCCTCTCTTTCTATTAACAACTGCATTTAAATCTATATTTAAGAAGTCTTTTTTAGCCAGTTGTAGTAGCATATACCTTTAATGCTAGCACTCTGGAGGCCAGAGGGCAGGTAGATCTCTGTGAGTTCAAGACCAGCCTGGTCTATATAGTGAGTTACAGGCCAGCCAGGGCTACACGTGAGACCCTGTCCCCAAAAAACAAACAGACAAAAAACCAAAACAAAACAACTAAAAACTTCAATGAACTCTAACTCTTGCTTCATGTTATCTTGTCCTGAAATTATTTTCTGTGGTGAAATCAAGGATCCAGTTTCACGAAGTGGAGGTCTTTGAAAGGGAAGTCTTTAGGCTGCTGAGGCAGGAGAATGGTCTGTGTCTCTGTGTCTTCTGCTGCCCTACCACTGACAAGAACAGCCCGAGTGTCCATCAACTGGTGAGTGAGTGCATAAAATGTGATAGCCACACAGCTGAATGATATTTAGCCATAAAAAAATGAATGAAGTACCAATACATTTTACAACATGTAATAAAAATTAGGCTAAATGGCTAAATGGTGATAGGCACACGCCTTTAATCCCAGCACTCGGGAGGCAGAGGCAGATGGATCTCTGTGAGTTTGAGGCCAATCTGGTCTACAGAGCGAGTTCCAGGACAGGGCTACACAGTGAAACCCTGTCTCAAAACATCCCCGTCCCCCAAAAAAATTAGGCTAAATGAAAAAAATGCCAATTAAAATATCACAGATTACAAAACTCTTGTTATTTTTTTTTCCAGTGCTGGAGACTAAACACAGTGCCTCCCACATGACAGGCAAGGAATCTACCACGAAGGCCACATTCCTAGGCCCAGATGCTCTGTGGTTGTGATCTTGGCAGCGTGACTCCGTGAATCACACACTTTACGCTAGTGCGCTGTGTGTCAGGTTTATCTTTTTTATGTTGTTTTAAGCCCTGGGCCTGGAGAGATGGGTAAGACCACTTGCTAAGCTGGAAGGTTTGTTTCCCAGCACTGGCATGGAAGGTCACACTGTTCGCAACTCTAGTTCCAGGGGATCTGACACCCTCTTTCGGTCTCCGAGGGCCCCAGAGCACAAGGTGCATGCACAAACAGGCAGACAACACACTCACACACATAAAAATAAACAGATCTTTAGAAAAACCAAAACAGAACAGGGAGGGGAACTGAAACTAGAATCGAGACTTCCCCAAAGCCCATGCTGGACTCAGGCTTCAAAAGCTTTTCCAGCTACAAGTAAAGAAAATCTCTCCCTCTTTCCCAGGGCTGTCTTGCACAGCTGAGTGGTAGAGCGCTTGCTAGGCATCTGGGAAACTCATAACTCAGCACCCCCACCCCCAAAATACAAACTTCTCAAGCTGCCTTCAGTCTGGCTCTCTCCGATTATGATTCATTTTTAGTTTTTTGTAAATCTTTCTTTTTTTTTTATTTTTTAAATTACACTCATGATATTCATTAATTACACTCATGATATTAATCACATTTGTGGTATTCATAGATTACATTCGCAGTATTCATTCAATTATATATATATATATATATATATATATATATATATTTTATTTTAAATGCCGAATGTCATTTATTGAAGGAGGGAGGAGGTCTTGAATACAGGCTTACAGCACAATGGAAGAACCCCGGAGGGCAGAAGTTCACTACTGATGTTTTACAATCTTGCATCTAAGCTGTTAATGCCTGTAAATGTTTCTTTTATTTAAATTTATTTTCATACAGGTTTTTTGTTTTGTTTTTTTGTGGGTTTTTTTTTTTTGTTTGTTTCTTGTTTCGTTGTTGTTGTTGTTGTTTTGAGACAGGGTTTCTACTTGTAACAGCCCTGGCTGTCCTGGAAACAGGCTGCCCTCGAACTCGCAGAGATCCCCCTGCCTCTGCCTCCTGAATGCTGTAATTAAAGTTATGTGCCACCATGCCCAGCTTCCCATAGTTTCTTCATTCCATTTTCAATTTTACTGTATTCGTGTGGGGGGTTTTGCCTGCATATCTGTGCACCACTTGCGTGCAGCAGATCCCCTAAAGTTGGAGTCACAGACAGTTGTGAGCTGCCATGTCGGTGCTGGGAATCAAACCGAGGTCCTCCAGAAGAGCAGCCAGTGCTTTTAAACTCTGAGCCATTTCTCCAGCCCCACAGATCACTTTTTTTTTTTTAAAGTAAAATGTGGATGCTTACACAGAAGTGTGGGATGGGCACCTTCTGGAGAAGGAGACAAATGCCAGCGCTGAAAGGCCACTTCCTGACAGTAGTGTGTTTTAAGCTGTTTGAAATCATTGTCACTGAATTTATGTGGGAGAGGGGATGTCACCCAGTCTTAAAAGAAGGACAAGTGGAGC